CTAGAGTGTCTCTATCCATCAAATTCTTGTACCAAAATCCATCTATGTCATGATAAGAACCTAACCACATAAAGATTTCTAGCTATCTCCCTATAGATTAAGCACAATTTCGATTTGTACAAACCTGGTTTCAGATGAAGAACAGGTGCAACTCTTGCTCGATTCCTCCTCCACAATGATCCAGATTCACTCCAAATCTTCCTCTGAAGCCAATGCACACCTCAATTTGGCTTGATTCCTCTTCAATCTCCAAACACGATCTTGAGTTGCAGCTCTGAGTTTTCACTTGCTATCTCTGCTACCAGCTTTAAATGTTTCCAAAAAAATGGCTGAACACACTCCAAATCTTATATAGAACTCATTAGAATCATCTAGAAAGTTCTGTAACCACCCAACTGAGATTTTACAATTTCAATTTCTCTCCAAAATTTCATCCATACCAGTCACGATTCTGGCTCTCTTTAGGCATGAAAATGCTTGGAAAATTCATCTCATGAGATATTGAATTGGTTTGTTATGATTATTTCCTTGTTTGCAAGCCAATGGTTCATGTTGGTTATGTTGCTTCATCATGAAGAAATGAAATGAAATGGCATGAAAATGGACTCAAACCAAAATTCTAGCATTGCCAAAGTTTCTAAAATGATTTTTCCATTCAAAATGACCTATTATTTTGCCTTGTTTGGACACAAAATGAATTGTTTCAATTTTTGGTCATTAAATGCCTTTAATTCTTCTTTTTTCAAAATTCCTTGAACGAAGTCCTTCCTTGAGCCATTTCAATGTCTCATTGATGCATGGTCAAGGTTAAAACCCTATTTTGAGCAACTTTAAAGTTGAACAAAATTTCATTTGAGGTGTCTAAGTTGGTGAAAATGACCCATGATCATAAATGACCTATAATCATAAATTTCCAAAATACCCTTGACTTGTCAAAGCCATAACTTGAGTTTTACAAATCCTATCAAGGACTTCTAGTACTCTATGGAAAGCTAAGAGAATAAGGAACAACATTCATGTTGACCAAAAGTTCATAGGAATCATCCTTCTTGGGCAAACGTTTCATGCAAGTTGGGTAACTTTCAAGCTCCAAATTCACATACCTCAGATGACTTGTAACTTGTCAAAGCCATAAATTGAGTTCTACAAATCCTATAAAGGAATTCTAGCACTCAAATTAAAGCTAAGACCATGATCTACAACACTCATGTTAGGGTCAAGAAGAGATGACAATCACATCTTAAACTAAATTGCTTTGAAGATAGGAGTCAAACTAGGGGATTTTACACTGTCAAGCCTTAGAAACCCTAGCTTGAAACTGCTCAAACTCTTCAATCATGATGAGTTAACCTTGGAATAATCCTTAGGACATATCAATGTATCAATCCATGATCACATGGCTCTTGAATTAGGTCTCAACCTCCTTCAAATCATCAATTGACTTAGGATTGACCCAGTCAAACCCTAGCTGCACCAATCATGGCTGAGGCTTCTTAGTCTTGCACAATGACCTGTCTAGGCCTCAAGGTGATCTTAAAACCTTCTCATGAGCTCTCTCAAGACCTCAAGTCCAACTTCATGGCCTCAGAATCATCTGTTGGCTTTCCACAACTTTCAAGTTAGGAGACCTACATACTTGGCTTCAACCACTCTATCTGAGGTTCTTTTAACTTCTCTGACAAGGATATCAACCCTTGAGCACTTGAATAAGCCTCCCAGCTAGCTTCAAAGTCTTATGTATCCCTTGATTGGTAACCATACCTCTTGATCTCCTGCATACATGTCAATGAAATGCAAATGATAATGCTAATGTGCATGAAATGAAACATAAGCTAGGTAAAGAAATGTTGGGCACATTTTGAGGTGCAACAAGAGTATTTTTGGCGGTTATACTGAAAAGTGAGGTAAAATATCCGACGTAAAATTTATAAAAAATAAAGGCGCCTTTTCGGTTCCAAAAAGAATAAAAAGTTAGAGAGTATTTATCTCGGTTTTCATGAAAATTGAGGTAAAATCTATAAAAGTTAAAGGCACCTTTTTGATTCCATATAAAACATAAAACTGTAGGAGTTGGAAATTGAATCTAAAAGCCTGAGCTTATATTTATGCCAGCTTTTCAAAAAACTGAGGTAACAGATGGATTTTTAAAAAAAAAAACATGGTGTTCCCGTTACATACACCCTCAATTTTATATTGTTCATGGTGAAAGCTTCATTATAAAAAGCGTTATTTGTTGTAGTGATGATTCCAATCATAACCCTTTATTACTTAGTTGTAGCAAGTTTAAAAGTTAACATTCCAAAAAATTTCACTTTCATGAAGCCTGGATTTCTCACCCTACTAATGACAAAGCACCAAAATTTAATGGATTCCAACCCATTTTCTTTACTATATACTGTCATATTGTAGGATGTGATGTTTGGAAATTAGCATATGGTGTTTTTTCTTTTGGTTGTATCCCTGGTGATCTTGATGAGACTCTTATCACTCTTATCCCTAAAATTGACGAACCTCAAAGTCTTAGTGATTTTAGACCCATTAGTCTATGTAATGTTCACCTTAATCTTGTCTTTAAGGTCTTGGTTCGACCTATTAGACAATATTTAGAAACCCTAATTGGCCATCTTCAGGGTAATTTTATCCCCAATCAAGGCACTACAGATAATGCTCTTATAACGCAAGATATTGTTCACTACATGCATACCAAGAAAGGAAATCAGATTTCTTATATATAAGATTGATTTTGAGAAGACATATGATTATGTGGATTGAAATTTTTTTAAAATCACTCTAGCAAGATTTGGATTTCCAACGTTAACAACTGATATATTTATGATTTGCATCACCTCTCCATCCCTGTCTCTTAAGTGGAATAATGAAAAGCTTAATAATTTTATTCCTACCCATGGTATGCGACAAGGTGGCTCTATGTCTCCTTACTTATTCTTGCTTTGTATGGAGAAATTGGCCTTTCTTATTCAAAAAAAAGAATCAGATAACTGGCTCGCCATACACATCTCTAACAATGGACTGACGATTTCTCATCTCTTCTCTATAGATGATTGTCTGCTCTTTACAAGAGCCAAAACTTATCAAATTAGGTTAGTTAATGAGGTGCTTCAATCTTTTTGCAAAGTCTATGGTATGAAGATTAAGTCAATAAATCTAAATTCCCCCTCTAAGAATTTATCTCAGGAAAAGCTAATAAAATTTGTAGGTATGATTACCTTTCAACATACCTTTAATATTGGAAAATATCTTGGTTTTCCTTTGCTCTATGGTAGGGTCACAAATGCAAATTTCTCCTTTATCAGTGATAAAGTTAATTCTCATATATCTAGGTGAAAGTAGGCTCATTAGCAGGCCAGAGAGGGTGGCTCTTGCTAGGTTTGTGCTTAGTTTTATGCCTATTTGTACCATGCATAATTTGTGGCTTTCAGATGGCATTGTAGTAAGATTGATTCTTGTATAAGACAATTCTTTAGGGGATGCAAATCTAGTCGCTGAGTTAAATGGGATACCATAACTCAACCTTCTACTAGAGGTGGTCTTTGCATCAGAAAAGCTAGACATATTAATGTTGCCATGTTGGTAAACATGTTTGGGAGTTCTTCACAATCCTGACAAGTTATGGGTTGAGTTATTATCAACTAGATATAATTATGTAGCCCACATCCTAAAGGCGAATAATTACCATGGAGAATTATAAACATGACATTCTATTGCTAAAGTAGTTGGGGCTCTTATCCGGGTTTTTATCACTAGACTAAGGAGATGAGACATTTCCATTTAGTATGATAAATGATCCCAAATGGTAGAATTTGTGACATAATTCCTTTGGTGGATGAGAAGGATACAGATCTACATATCATGGATGTCTGCAGTTATGGTACTTGGAATTTTGACATCATCTCACCCATCTTCCTCAGGATGTAAAACTGAAGATGGCTAATGTCTTTATTAATGACGACTCAAATGATATTCTTATTTAGAAGCCTTCGATGTCAAGTACTTATTATACCAAATCAGATTATTCTTGGTTAACTTTAATGTCTAATCCACCTCATATTCAGACAATGACTTGGTCTTGAATTTGGAATCTCAAGTTACCTAAAAGCATTCGTCATTTTGTTTGGATCATCATGTATGATAAGTTACCTACCAACTATACACAAGTCACTCATCTCAGGTCAGACGCCTATTGTTATAGATGTGATGCATCTAATGAAATCATCTTACACACTTTTAGAGATTGCCCTAAGACCACGCAAGTTTGGAACAATTTTAGCTTTCCATCTCACATTCATTTTTATGAGGATGTTGTATATAATTGGATGAAAATAAATGTGGTCACCAATCATGACCCTTAGTTTCTTATTTGTTCTTGGATGATTTGGAAATCACGAAACGAAGAATCCTTCAATAACAACAATTGTTCTCTTTAGAATATTCTTAGCCAAAATGACTACTCTTTTACACTCTACCAAACAGGTTTTTTGTGGTTCTAATAAAATACTAAATACTAAACTTGTGTCTTGACACCCTCCTCCAAAGAATGTGATAAAGGTCAATGAATATGGTAGTTCCATTAGTAATCCGTGGTCATTCGACTTTGATGGTCTTTTGAAAAACTCTTCTAAAAATAAATATGAATAAAAATAAATAAATATGAATAAAAATAAACATAAAATTTAAAAACAAATAAATATGAATTAAAAAAAACAAAAAAATTGGACTTGGTCGCTTACAAAGCACACACCACACAACATCGTATGTCGCCGCAAAAACACACTGGTGAATGTTGTGAGTTCTCCACGTATTCAGATAAAGCACATACCTCATGCTACGTCATCATTTCCTTCCTTAATTCTTTCTCTCTTTCCATGTCTGTTTTAAACCACGCAACCACTTCCTCTATTTCACTCTTTTCTCCTTCCATGTTCAATTTCTATCTCTAGTGACGCAAGCTCAATTTTCTCTCCAAATTCTTCTACCCTTACATGGCTGTTAAATCGCATAGCACCAACAATTTTCTATCGTTAAGGTAATCCATTGGTTCCTCTTCGCTGAATCAGTCATAACCAGGAAGCTAGGTTTTAGTTTCCTAATTGTTTGTTTGTTTTGTACCTTGCACGTGAATTGTTTGACGAAATTCCTAACTGAAACTCTAATCCTTGAACTCTTACGTTTCCGTTTTGTTTACTTATTTTCTATTTTTTGAAATACTCTTGTCTTTTACTGCGGGATTATCTAGGTTTATTATACTAGAATTTGTGAAGAATAGTTTATGATAGTTATGATGCATTGTTTTCTTGCTAGTACTTCAGGTCGTAACTATATGAATGTGATGTATTGTCGAATATAACCGTCATTTATATGTTTAAAAGCAATGAAGCACGGACGCACAGACACGAACACCGACAAGACACCGATAATAATTTGAAACAATAAATAAACTGAATGTAATCACAAGTGTTGGTGTCGGTTTCCGAAAGGTGTCGGTGCTTGAGAGTTTAAAGATAGTTATATTTTGAAACTAATTAGCTTGTAAAAGTTTTGTAAAAAAAAGAAACTTGTAAAAGTCATTATATAATCTTTACTAATATAGATTCAGTGCTATGTCAAATAGTGGCTATAACAGCACCATAGAGTACCAGCAGAGTTTAAATAAACGACTATTGTTATGTGATATGCGATTTATTTAGTAAAATGTTGTAAAACAGTGGGTATAATTGTGCTTTAGTGTAGCAGAATTTGAACAACTCGCAATTTTCTATAATCTGCGATTGACAACACTGTATAGGTCACTGTGCTGCAGGAAATAGTATTGCTGTATTTGGTGTATTAATTTTTTCATTGTGACTACTGCATTCCTCTGAACTAAATTTTTGTGTATGGCTCTCTGGGTGTATATGTGTGTGTTGTTTCTAACTGCAGTGCATTTTTTCAGTTCCTCGAATTGCCGGCTTTCAAATGGTTCCTATTGTGTAGGGAGGAAAGTGTCGGACTTGCATTGTCTACTATTTAGTAAATGGAGCAGGACACGAAAGGGATGCCTGATACAGCATGATTTGCTATCATTGAGTAATGGTCATGGTTCGGCAGGCTGTAAAAAATACTATTTAACATTTTCTAAGGCTGGAAGGAGTTTACACTTGTTCCCATTTGCTACCTCTGATGATGGTATGGCTGTCAATGGGAGTCCACTAGCTGACACCAATGCTAACCTTGAAAAAATGAGGGTCAAACTGGATAGTTCACTTGAAGATGAAAACTTTTATGATGGACTTGTTCAAGCTTTAAACGATGCAGCCAGAGTTTTTGAGCTAGCAGTTAAAGAGCATAAATCGTACTCACGGGTATCCTGGTTTTCAACAGCTTGGCTTGGGGTAGACCAAACTGCATGGATGAAGGCATTGTCATGTCAGGTATCATCAGGACTTTAATTATTAGACTGTGTTACTATTGTTTGATTCAAACCATCTTCAAAGTATGATATGCATTTGTGAATATGAAACTTTGACAGACAGCCATTCTTATGGCATGCTGTTCTCTTACTTAAATTGTGACAAATACACGCCATGTGAACTCTCAAAGGAATATGCGTAACTAAGTTTTATTTTGCATGCCTTGTTAGTGTTTTTGACAAATTCATGCAGCAATGTATGTCAATATTTTGAAGTAATGGTTTATATTTTTTATTCAACAAATTGACCTTATTGTTTCCTTTAACCAATTTAGAGGGTTACATTTAAATGTGTACTAATGATATTGTGCTATGGTTCTTTAAGGACCCATTACTATTGACTAGCAGGAAGCTAAATCTCAGGCTTAAGGTAAGATAGTGTATTGCATAACTGTAGATATAGGACTAGGGTCATTTGGCTTCAGCTACTTTGCTAAATTTCTAAATGACTTTTCTTTGTAATTAAAGTGTTGTTAAGAATCAAAAGAGAAGAGAAAAATGAATTGAAAGGTCAGAATCAAAGTAATCAGAGTTTATTGCTCGGCCAAGGGAAGGCTTCGCTATTACAACTGAAGTATAGTTCTCATACAATGTCCCATGACCCTCACTTGAGTCACTCCCTTGTATAATTTGTATGTAAAGGTTCTCACATAACAGTCAACGTAGAATGGTATAACTGGTTGCCAAAATCTCCCCCAACCCATTAATCCCTCTTCTTGCTAGAATATACTTTCAATTTGAAACCATTTGCCTCCAATAAGATTAATAATATCAAAGGTTGTTAAGCTCAAGAGTCTAAGTAAATTCTTGGAGCTTCCATAAAATCAGCACGTTGAATTGACCGACAAACTTGTAAAAATTTACCTAATAAAAAAGTTATATTAAAAAATACCGTTAAATGAGATGTAAAAAATAATACAATACCATTAGTAGAATAGTAATTCAACATTCCAAGTCCATAATAAAGTAAGTAGCAAACCAATATCAGTATATCAGCAGATAATAAACAGAAGATCGCAACAAATATTGTAAGATCCTACTTAAATGAAAACAATAATAGCATTAATTTAAAGTATTTTTACATGATATATGTTAGTAGGCGAGTGTATTCGTGAGAAAATGACTCTTTTTCATACTCTTTAGACATGATTGAGTTTTTATACTTTATTACTACCACATGGAACATTTGTTAGACATCAAGGACATATTTGGTCAATTACTAGTATTATCATAAGTTAATTAGTTAAAACAAACTCTACAAGTGAGATGTTTATTCTCTAAACCCTAAATCTAAAACTTCATCATTTAAAAAAGGCACATATTCATCCCCGCCAAACTATAATTGTTTTGTCTATGCATCTTGTCATCCTTGTCACCTTTTAAAGTTGGTGGTCAGATAACGGCCAATCATGGCGGAAACTGGCAAAAATCATACAAAATCATTGAATTTACGATTTTTTCCAAAATTTGCTTCAACACGCGATTATACTAAGATCGGGATCATTGAAGGTGAGTGAGATCGTAAAATCTTAACATTTTTAAGATCTAGGACGAGATCTTGACAACCTTGGTGATACTGGTAACTCTTTTAGTGGGTTTTGTTTTGAACGAAGGGAAAATGCATGAAACAGAGTGTGAGGGAGTCTTTCGGGTGTCGAGTGCAAGCAAGTGGCAGGCCAAGTGCGAATGCACCTTTTGGATGTTCAAATACAGAAAGCCACTGGAGCACTCAGGCAAGCTTCTCCAGCAGGGAGTGGCATTGTTTGTTGCAGGCGAACTATGGTTGTCAAGTGTTCAATTGCAGTTTGAGAGAGCCCATAGGCAAAATTAAGAGATTGAAAGCCGGAAAAAATGAAGTTCAGAGTAAATATGGCAATGGCCAGTCTTGAACAAAAATGAAACACAATTAAATCATATGTTTTGAGTCACTTTTAGCTCTTAAGTTGGACTCCCTGACTCATTATCTGAATTGCGAGTCTGTTCAAGTCAGACTGAGTCAGACAAAATTGATTCCCAGTGTGAATTAACCTGATTTGGCTACATAGAATCTAAACTTGATTTATGAGTTAACTAATTTTTTCAAATGAATACTATTTGAAAAGATTGAAGCAAATTATATATTGCAGATTCTTTCTTCATCATAAATGAATTTTGGTAGTTTTACTTTATTGCCTTTGCTACAAGAATTGCTACTATTGATGTTGATCATGTCTCACCTTATTTCACTGTTTCGAAATTTTTCAAATTTATGAACAACTGAGAAACATGTCATATAAATTTTCTCAGGCTGCCGTGTACTCCTTATTGTATGCTGCAAGTGAAATTTCATCCAGAGGTGATAGCAGAGATAGAAATGTCAATGTATTTGTTCAAAGGAGGTAGCGTGTTACTTTGCATTTTGGTTCATTTTATATGTTTCTTTTACATTACACTTATTTATCAGAAGGAATAGAAGTTCTTTGGTTGATCCTATGTGATGAAGTTTTATAATAGACCACGTACCAAAACTTATTTATTAAATAATTACTTCAGTCGTTTGATTTTTTAACCATTAAAATGTATTTTCTATAGCTATGGTACATATTAATGTCAAATTTTGAAATTTAAAATGCATACATTTTTGTTCACAAAAAAGTCTGTATTTTATTGAATATTATGTAAATCATCCAAAGGTTTAATACTAAGTTTAAGTTAGTAACTTGTGTTGTACTTTTAATATTGAAGTTTTGTAACACGCAAACTTTAAACGTTACTTAAAGTTTTTATCATCACAGTGCTTGTATACTTATAACCTGTTTTGACTGCCTTCCAATATTTGATTTACCCGTACTGCACTGTCTCATGTTTTTCTTTTTGTTCCTTCTTTACAGGTTTAGTTTTAATATTTAATAGTGCTCTCTCTTGTAGCTTTGGGCCTAATACTTATTTTAAATGTTGTGTCGGTCCAGTTTGCTAAGGCTATCTGCTCCCTTGGAGAGTTTAATTCGAGAGAACTTATCAGCCAAACAGCCTGAAGTATATGAATGGTTTTGGTCTGAGCAAGTTCCAGCTGTAGTGACATCCTTTGTTAATAAGTTTGAAGGGGACGGACGCTTTACTTCTGCCATTGCTTTGTATGTTCTCTTTTAACATTTCTACATATTAAGATGTTAACTTTTATGGCTCTGTTCTTGCTCCTTCATGTTATATTTATAGACAATGCACAAATGATGTTTTTGACTGAATTCCCAGGTCTGGAAAAACTAAGGGTTTAAGCAGTGCAAGTGATGTATCACTTCTTCTTCTTGCACTTACATGCATTGCTGCAATTGCTAAACTTGGCACGGCAAAAGTTTCTTGCTCACAGTTCTTTTCCATGAGCACAGAGATAACTGGTAGTTTGATGGACATGCTGGTTGGTTTAATTCCTATAAGTCAAGCTTATAATTCTATAACGGATGTTGGTCTACACAGAGAATTTCTTGTACATTTCGGTCCCCGAGCTGCAGCTTTTAGAGCAAAAGATGAGTGGGGTTCAGAAGAGGTTGTTTTCTGGGTAAATCTGGTTCAGAGGCAGCTACAGCAAGCTATTGATAAGGAGAAAATATGGTCAAGACTGACAACATCTGAAAGCATTGAGGTTAGTTGTGTTTAGTTTTGAAGACATCATGGTTTTGACACTACTAGAAAGGTGATGTTGCATTTCATGTCTAGGAATATATATTTAATTGAAATGACTACACTTACATTTAAATTACCAAAGTGAGACCTAATATTTTTCTCGATTTGTATCATTTTACAAATTATTATTCATTAACAGGTGGACTGGCTTTGAAATTTGACATCTGAAACATACTCCTGTGACTGTATAATTTATTGACATCTGAAACATATTACTTGATCATGAAATTTGTTTTCTGGTGGACTGGCTTTGAAAAACAAAAGTATTCCACTATGGATAAAAATAATTTCTTATTTTATTTTTCCAGCATAGAGGAGTATGATTAAACATTGAGCTAAGTTTACTTTCTATTAGAAAGTTTCAAGCGAAAGCACTTTATGTAAATAAAATAAAAAGAATAAAGAGATGAGTTGAGTTGAATAGGGTATAATAGAGCTCAATCCTTTTCCATTCATTTGTGTTTTTTTTTTGGTAACAAAAGGCTTCAATTGAAAGAAAGTTAGCATAGTGCAGGTTTTGGAGAAGGATTTGGCTATATTTGGATTCTTTATTGCTTTAGGCAGAAGTACACGGACATTTCTTTTGGCAAATGGTTTTGATACTCTCGATGATCCAATTGAAGATTTTATCAGGTACTATTTCTGTCACGTATTATAACTATTGTTAGAGTACTAGGTTTCTTATTGTTTTAGTAGACTTATCATGAATATTATTCGGTTGGGCATGTATTAGTTGTCCTTCTAGTATTTGACCAGATGATTCATATAAATAGGTATAATTAGGTTACTAACTTTACATTTAAAATATCATCACAATAGTTCCTACAACTTCAGCCCCTTTCTCTTCAATTCTGGTTTACACACATTTTGTTCATTTATTTATTTATCTATTTATTTATTTATTTATATGACTATTTATTACAGGTATCTTATTGGGGGCAGTGTTTTATACTACCCTCCGCTCTCATCCATTAGTTCATATCAAATGTATGTTGAGGTTAGTGTTTATGGTCCTTGCATTTAACATAGATGCTTTATTAAGTTAGTTTAACTGGTGAAGTCCTTTAACTGCATAGGTAGTGTGTGAAGAACTAGATTGGCTTCCTTTTTATCCGGGAATCACCAGCATCACAAAACAGTTGCATGGGCATGATAAACCAGAAGGTCCCCCAAATGCCGAAGCAGTGACGCAAGCATTTGATGTTTGCTCTCATTGGATGCAGAGCTTTATTAGATACAGCACATGGCTGGAGAGCCCCTCAAATGTAAAAGCAGCTGAGTTTCTGTCTACAGGGTAACCAGATAAATGTTTATTTATAGTTTAATGAAATACAAGCTTCAAACATAATAAATTCTTATATGTATCTTATTTTATTTTATGTTAGGAACAACAAGTTAATGGAGTGCATGGAGGAACTTGGAATGATAAAGTATGTGGCAAAGTCTGCATCTACAGTGTTTTATTTTTTGGCATTCCATCAAGTGCACCTGCATATTCATTGATGCCGTGATTCAGGCTTCAAAACTTTATATTTTTCGGATAAAATATTGATCATAAGTTTCTTGTTTCAGCAACATCAAGTTTAGTTGCTATTGCTACACAGTAGTGATGTCAAAGTCATTTTTGTGTAGTCAATTGCAGTCATAGCGGCTTGCCCTAAGCGCTATGTGAAACCCCGTGTGTTTCTGTTTTAAGTAACGGATGCAGTGCCACCAATAGCAGTTTTCGCAGCGAAATACTGAATTTCTCTTGACCTTTTGTTCATTTCCCACCAAAATATCCGTTTATGGTTGTCAAATGGAATTTCAGAAGTTAGAATGGAGTAATTCCATGCAGTAGACAAAATGAAAGACCAAGAGTTGAATCTTGAGGCTAGAATAACAGATGCACTCAAATCATTAATGATATTCTGTATCCATGCACAAATTCCGTAGTAGTTTTCAAATGCATCTTGTTCCAATACAATCCTTTCAGGAAATGAATTTAAAGGTTGATCCAAACAGTGTTAACTTTTTTTCTCTCTAATATCTTTTATATATCATTGACCTGTTAATACGATATGTTTGGCAAATGTCCTTTCATTAAAAAAGAAAGAAAAGAGAGCAGATGCCTATATAATAGAAATGTGTTTAATAGTTGAACCATTTTACAAAAACATATGATTCTTCTACCTGAGAGCTAATTCTGCACCTAAACCCACGTGCAAGTAGCAGATAAAATGTTTCCAAGCAAATGTGGTGACATTTTCTAGAAGCAATTTATTTATATACATTTTGTATCTATAGTTTTACTGGAATCCAGAGGCTGTGAACCTGATTTTCTACTCCAATAGTTTCTTATTCCAAAAGTTGTACTACTACCACTTATTATCTTCATAAATTTAATGCAGGGATAAGACATTGGAGAGTGATACCAAGAAAATAGTTGACAGACAAAGTTCCACAATTCAGTCAACAATAAAAGGGTCAGGTTCTTTTGATGAGGTTTGGTTCCTGCTTTTTAAAATCTGCATTTAATGCAGGTGCTTCTTCCATGTTTTTTGAATTAGTTATTATAAACTTAATTTTTATTATTCCGGGGTGCACTAAATGATAGTACAACTCCATCTGGAACCATGGATGCAATTAGACATGGTAGGGCTTACCTTTATAGCATTGCACCAAATGTCCTGAATTTATAAAATCATAATCATATCCCGTCCAATGTACCAAATGAAATAATATAAAGGTGCATTAGGTAAAAATTGATAAACTCTTGTAACATCCGTTGTTTTGTCAACAATTGTATAAATGGTTGATAGTTGAAACAGATATTTGTTTGAGACATTTTCCCCTCTTTCTGACATCGATACCCAAAGCAAAAGTTGTAGGAATGGTGGAAAAGGTTGAGACAGTAGTGGTGATATAGTTGGGATCATATTGTTGTTGGTGGAAAAGGAAATGGTAGTGATGGTTATATTAGGTCACTTGCAGCAGATATGTGTAGTGGCATGGTGGTGGTCGTAGCAAATGTTCTGCTGGTGAAGATGATGGAAGTAGAATTGGGCTCGTGGTGGTAGGATTTGGTGACAGTAAGGTGATTGGAGAAAAATGGGATGCTGTCTTTATCCTATCCTGCTAATTCACCTCAATAGGCTAGATAGTTACTCCCTCCATCCTACAATGAGTGATCCAGTTGGCTATTGCACACAAATTAAGAAAAATGAATAAATGAAAGAGAGAAAATGATATTTTTTCTAAAGTATCCTTATCATGTATTGGAAATGATGAAATTAATGTTAATTAGGGGGTAAGATTGGAAAAAATGCATTGGAAATTGAAATAGGTCATTCATTTTGGGACACTCTTTTATTCCAAATAGGTCACTCATTATGGGACGGAGGGAGTATATAAGAAATATGACATAAAATCTACCCTTTGGATAAGCTCATGAACATTGAACAAGGCTGGGCAGAATATCTTATTCTTTCCAATGCAGATTTATTTCCCACTTTCACTATTGAGTGGCAAGCATAGTTTGAATAGGATAACAAATATATTATTTGATTGGGAAATCTTATGGTTTAAGTCGGTAGTTACTTGGAGTGCTACCAAAGTTAAGGACAGAGACGTCATTATGTAGTCAGAGTATTAATTTACTGGCAAAACTTGCCTAAAGTATTATAAGTGTTGTAGTAGGTACAGTTTTCATTAAAAAAAGACTAAATCTACTCTTATCTGGCTTTGAGATCTCAACTTTCATGCTGTTATAAGTGAGAAACAACATACTATAGATAAGTTTGATTGCATATTGATAGAAATTCAATTCAAATAAACAGAAAATGTATTATTAAATTGAAATTAAAACTATTACAGAGAGGAATCCCTATAATCCCAGAGCCAAGTGTTCCTCAGAGGAGAGATGATTCTCACTCTGCCCAACCCAAAAGTTTATAACCTAAAATACACATAACGAGTTCTCTCCCTGGCTATCGGTGTTTTTATATAACTACCCTCCCCCCTTCAGACATAAGTAGTTATACTTATAACCAGTTCTCTAGCAAGCTTTTCTTTTGGGCTAAGGCCCAAATCTAGTATCCTATCACATATGTATTGAACCATCCTCTATTACTTTAATCCTCTTTTATTTTTTCTCTGCTAAAACTAAAATTCTCTTGTTTCTCCACATGGCATTCAAGTGGATGTATAAACAGCAAAGAGAAAATGACTTTGCAAGAAATGGAAACCTTATATACCAATGACATGTTAGTAACATATATGATTGCATATATAAAAATAAAAAATTAATGTGCCTTTCTCACATGGTTCTTCCTTATGGATTTTTTATAGAGATTTCCTATGTCGATGTATTTTTCTGCCTTAATATATTTTATTGTTTCTGATTTGTCATAGTTGGAATTGGATGATAAGCTATCCTGTTCTTTTACTTATTTGTCATTGCAAGAGTAGAATACTTATATTTGTTTCTGTTTTCAATGGTGTGAAATGAATGAAAAGATGGATTTGTATTTTCCGATTTGATTTATATAAAGGGAGTTAAAGGAATCATGAAAAGTCAATACTAAGGGTTATTGATTGCTGTAACCTCTATATATAAAAGTTATAATTACTTGTAAAACAATACTGGTTGAATAAAAAATACAAAGAGTTATTGAATGAATATTGTGACCCCCACTTGTTTTTCAGAATGAATATATTAGCAAACTAAATCTTTTCATTTGGTCGGAAAACCGAATTGTTTCTTTTATGTAAGCATCTTAAATTTAGGGATATTAATATCTCCATTTGTTTCCGAAGTAGAACCTGGAATCGTAGCCATGAAAAGTTTGATTACAAATAGTTAGAATAATGTCCAGTTTCTGAAGCATTAGTTCTCATATACCAATTTGATTAACAATGTGCCCTCATAGTGGATTTTGAAAAGGAAACTAAACAGTTCTGGAAATAAGAGAAAAATTAGGGTAAAATGCAATCGTTTGAAGAAAGAACTAGGTCTTTTTGCACACTTAGTCATACACTCATAATAACTAACTAACCTAACAATAAATTGTATTGAAGCTTTTGTCCTCTCCATTTCAGTATTGTATAAATTCCTAATCTAATATCTTCATACCTAAACATAAGAATATTCTTCATACTTTAGATGGATCCAAACCTTTTGTTTTGATGTATCATATTCTTGTTGATGTCCTTGAATTCAGGCATTGAAAAGTGTTGAAGAATCTGTGATAAAACTTGAAAAGTTGCTTCAAGAATTGCATGTGTCAAGCTCTAGTTCTGGAAAAGAGCATTTGAAAGCAGCCTGTTCTGATTTGGAAAAAATACGGAAACTTAAGAAAGAAGCTGAATTCCTGGAGGCATCTTTCAGAGCAAAAGCTGATTCCCTGCAAGAGGTACACAATGTCCTGCACAGCCTCCTTTACCCATAACATGAATAGTGCATGAAATTTTTTTACTTTGAAAGTACATTCACTCTTTGACATCTCTCTTTTTTATGTCAATGTCTTATATTTTTTCCTGAGTGGGAAGTCTTCTTTTTGGGTTTTTTACCTTCAAATAATTGTGTTTTGGATATTTTGTATTTGTTGTTGATGAAAGTAAATTGACTGATCAACATGATAAGGATGGGTCCAGACACTGATCAGTGATGGGGCTGATAATGAAGTAGGAGTGAATGTATACTTTAGTATTGTAAGGACATAATTGACATTACATGTATCTTTTTTATTCGAGGAATCAATTGGCTTCAAAGTGGCAATTGATGTTATAATTTTTGTCCCCTAAAAGATTATTTTGATGGATGAACCACTTTGTTGGCCTTCATTGACTTTGAGGTACCATTTTGGTATAATAAATAGAAAACCAATACAATGCCGAATATATGTTTGGAAGGTCCAAAAACATGTCTTTTTCGATATAAATTTAATTTATTTCTTATTGGACATTGTTACCCAAATAACCTATAATAGAGTACATACTTATTAACCTAATGACTATAGTTTTTCAAATACAACAAGTTAATGACAAAATTATATGAAGAATATTCATATACAGTAATTAGGAGAGGAATATGTGGATTAGGTAGGTGACTTTCATCCCCTTTGCTTAAAAATCAGGGTGAAGATTGGATCCAGGTTTAGTAGTATTCTTGGATAGTGTTGCTATCTCTTTTTCCATGGCATTTAAGGTGCATTCATGATTTTCTTTTTCAAAATAGTGGAGTAATGTGGATTGTACTAACTGTTATCCTTTCTTTGCACTGATTCATCGTAATCTTGCTTGACTCATGCATACTAGTAAAATATTTGCTTTTTGAGAAACTCATTATTTGCTTGCCAATGGTCTTCTTGTACACTCATTCAGGGAGTTAGTAGTGCTCAAACCATCACACCAGTTGGTGAAGAGGACAAGCTAATAAAAGGGAAAAGCAGAAAGAATGACAATGTAAGGGTGGACAGGAATAAAAGGTATGAAGTCTTGACTTACATTTTTTCATATCTAGTGACTTGTTTCTGATAAAAAATTTCAATGCAAGATAGTCAGATATTTAAAAGTTACATGTGTCATTCTCAGACAAATTGGAAAATCTCGTGGATTCTGGAGCATCTTTGTACCTCCCGTCACCAGAAAGCCTGACCTGGAAGCAGATGTGGATGCATATGTATGCATTATCATCCTTATACTTTGACGCTGTTGACTTACTTTTTGTATATTTGTCAAAATGTAACTGTCTATTTGGTTCTTTTTTATTTAATTAAATATACTTATAAGATTAAGGTGTCTGTCAAAATCCTGTTTTACATTAGCTGTATAGACAATTAATTATTTATTCTAGTTGGTTGGCTGATACATGGTTGCGTTTTGAGTAATATGGAATTGCTATCTTGTGTTTAGGAAAATTTTATTGAACAGCCTGCACCAAATGTAGCGGTTGAGGACCAAGAATCCAATGAAATCCACCGCCTTGAGCTTCTAAGAGATGAGCTGATGCAACTTGAAAAAAGGGTTCAAAGAAGTGCCTATCAATCAGAAAATAATGAGGTATATCGGAAACATTTGAATGATGTCTTCCAACTTGAACTTATAGTCTTATGGAATAATTTATACTACTTAGATATTGCATTATTTTTGACGTACTATGCTGCCCAATCTTAATGTCGCCTTACATGAAAGGTCTAAATTATTTGAATATTGAAGACTAAGTTACAAAACTAGAGGTTCTAATAATAAATGGCAATGAAAGAAAGAGGAAAAAAAATCATGTCCTGATGATTACACAATATCAATGTGATACAAGCGAAAGAAAAAAAGGGAAATACTGAAATATTTACTCTAAAATAATGCTATTTACAACACTCTGCTTCAGCTACTATTAATTTTTAACTAAATCTGCATGCCATTTTAATTGACTGCTTATTATCTTGTGTCCCTCCTTTTCATTTAGTTTATTTTTTTGCGAAGGCTTTTAAGACGGTGTGTATATTGTTTTGACAGGATTTGATGATCATTGACAATGGTGCTCGCTATAGTGGTGATGCTGGAGATGGTCAGATAGCCAGAGTTCAGAAGAAAGAGAATATCATACAAAAGTCTTTTGACAAACTAAAAGAAGCAGGAACGGTATGATATAGACTGATGTTATTCTTTCTTGGAAATATTCTCTTTGTTTATGAACTTATCTGCTTCATCGCATTAGTCAGATGAATCTGGCTGATTTTTTTCTTTCTTAGAATGTGGGTTGGGTTTAACTCAACTCTTATAAAATTGGCCTGAAAGGTGAAGACTACCCCATTTATAAAAAGTTATAAACACACTGTCAAGGCATCTCTTGTCCAGTTTGGGACTCTTAACATCCTTCATCCTGTGTTTTTGGAGAATGAAAAAGAAAAATTATAACATGTGTGTAGCAACATCTCTGATACTTTTGACAATATCCACTGCTCAAAAAAATACCATAGTAGTGGAAATTTAAAGTTAAGTCATAGGTTATTTTCTGTATCCAATAACTGAGATCTAAAATCTGCTGTTTAATAAACAGGATGTTTGGCAAGGTACTCAACTTCTTGCTATTGACGCTGGTGCTGCCACGGGCTTTGTCAGAAGGACCTTAATAGGTGATGAATTGACTGAGAAGGAGAGGAAAGCACTTAAAAGAACCTTAACTGACATGGCCTCAGTTGTTCCTATCGGCGTTTTAATGCTTCTTCCGGTGAGTTCACCTTTATGATTGTTCTTATCAACTATATCTGAATAACATGTCCTGTTCTTGATAGAGAAGCATACTATTCATTCATAGTAAAAGGATCCTAATCAAAGTAGGCTAGGTTTCTAAATCATGTTTTGTTCAAACTAAGAGATATGAAAACTAATCCTTCAGAGATAATATAAGATACTCACATAAAAGAAATTATTTCTAGGAGATGGCCTAAGATAAAACCGCGATACAAAATATCGTTCATATCGTCTAATATAGGTAAATTGTATCACTAATATAACCCTGGTGCACAGGCACATTAATTTTCCATTCTTCTTTTTTTATATGTAGAAGAATAGGGATAGCAAGAATTGAAGTCTTTACCATGTTGTCAAGAGCTCTAATAGTAATACCATTTCAAGAACCAACTCTCCCAAAGGCTTAAGTTCGTTGTTAATTGTTAAAAGACTCGTTAATAATTTTTTCTGTCTCTAACACACCCTTTGACCGGAGTAAATATGAACAATGCACAAAACCATTTTCACCATATCTTGAAATTCTTTTTTTTATTATTCATATCAATATGAGCAGCAAAGATTGAGTTGTTCACTATTAATCAGAGAGAATCTAACACCATTAATTAGGTGAAAGGTGATGATTGATTGACTTTATTATAACAGGCATAAGAAAGCAAAACTCTCCTAATATTTTTAATCAATGATCAATTCAATTAATTATTGATCCTAGTATAGAGTTTTGCATCCTATATTTTTTCCCCTTGTGAATTTGTCGAATTCATTTTTACCTTTAATTTTCTGCTCATAAATATTATTAAAGTGGAAGAAAAAGAACTTCTGCTTATAGGAAATGTAAAAAAGAGAAGATAGAAGGAAATGAACTTGTTTGTTATTTCATATTACCATTACCATTTTCTAACATTAGATGTTGCCTGCTAATTAGGACAATGTTTACTTTACACAGGTTACTGCCTTCGGGCATGCAGCCATGTTGGCTGCTATTCAGAGATATGTACCAGCTCTGGTATACCATTATGACTCTGCTGCTGCTTCTTTTTCCTTCTCCTATTCAAAGTTTAAATCTAACGTCATAAGAATTCAATAAACCTTCTTCCTTGCAGATTCCATCCACTTACGCACCAGAGAGGTTGGATCTCTTGAGGCAACTTGAGAAGATGAAGCAAATGACAATCAATGATGTGGATTCAGATGAGGAAGTGGATGAAGTTAAATGATCAGGAGCAATGCAAATTTATGTATAGCTAATATATTGTTACATTCTTCCTGATCTGATGAAAATTGGATCAGCTTCCTTCTTTGCTTTCTGGAAAAATAAATTTGGTTCCAAATTTCTTTGAGAGGAGTTGGGCATAGATAAGTTCGTTCCACGTGTCAGGCACTCCGGGTAAACACCAGTGGCTACAATCCTGAGGAGCATCAGATGGAGTGCCTGGTTCCCGATATTTGGAAGGGTGGCCATCTTTCCTCACTTCTGAAAGATATGTGATGTTCAAAAAATTGGCTTTCCAGCTTCCATATTGCATCTCTTTAACAGCATCAGATATAAATAAGTTGTAATACGGTTCAGTTTCGATTTTTGTTGGGTCGTTTTCTGGTTCCGAGTCCTTGTCGCAGTTCCCTCCTTCATTCCATGTGCCATTCCTGCAATTTCACTATACAGACTCTTATCCAATGTACTCAGAAGGGCTAACTTAAATAGGATGAATAGATTTGATCCAAAAATAAATTATGAAGTGATTTAAGGCATATTTGGTTTGGCCAATTTGAACTCCAACTACTTGAAAGAGCTTATAAAAGCAGTTTTATTTATATTCTTGTTATATATACTCTCATATGATAAATGTATGTTATAAATATATAATTAGTTTGTTTATCTAAACATGATATTAGCTCAAGTTTGAGTTTGATCTCAATAACATGATATTATCTCATTTGATCTCAAGTTTGAGTTTTAACCAGAGTTTGTGACAGGGTCTTCAATACCACATTAATGTGTTAATATACTTGCCTGTAATGAACAGGGGAATAGCTTCGGAAGAAGATGAAACTCTTGGTAGGTTTCAGATTACCCAATGCCCATATTTTCCATGCATGTAAGGATCTCCTAAAAGCTTCTTTCACAGTCATAGTCATATTTACTTTCCCTCCTTGCTGGAAGTAGATACCTCTGCAAAAATATAGAGTTTGTTTACATTTACATGTGTTATTTGTATTAGAAAAAACTAGAGATTTAATATACTTACGCCTTGATAGTTTTGTCTGGGTTCCACCAGTGACCAGAATTGAAAACAAGAACATCTGCTTCTTTCCATTTATTGGAATACCAATGCAACTCATCAAGTCTGATAGTCATTTTGATATCTTTAGTTGAGTTGGGTGGTGGACGTCCTAAAATAGACAAGAAGGGTGCCCTGTAATACTCTACTGTCATGTTGTATTCTTCAAATTTCATGATTAGGTACCCTTTGTGTTTGCTTATGGGACTTCCATTCACTTCATATATTTTTGACATGTTAGAGACCCCTTTTGTTAGCATGCATAGTAATGACTCCCATTGGTTTCTTCCCACAGAATCACCTGCAAACACAATGCGTCTGTTGCGGCTTCTTTCTAGGAGGTCACTGGCATTAAATCTGAGAGTAGCACAAGGAATGAATCAAGAGTAGTTGCTATTACATATTAGTCATTACTTCTATAGAGATTCTATTTAAGCAAATTCTATTTAGTCACGATTTAACCTTTAACAAATTTTGAATTCTATTTACGCCTCATAATAATTTATGAGATCTTAATTAATTACAATTTAACTTATGGCAAATTTTAGATAATAAAATAAATAGAGATTCTATTTAAGCTTGATAATAATTTATGAAATTCTATTTAACCATGATTTAATCGTGACAAATTTTAGATTCTATTTACACTTGATAATAATTAATGAGATCTTAATTAATTTTAAATTAACCGTGACAAATTTTAAATCCTATGCTATAATCCTCTTTACATGATTTGAAAGAAAGACGGTCTGTGTATCATATTTGTTAAAACTAAGAACAATATAATGGATTATAGAGTGAGAATAGTTATTCACTTAATTATAAATATTAAATTTTAACAATATAGTTATCAATTCAGCATTTGAATATAGAACAATTCTATAAAATTTGATAAGAATTTAAAACTAATATATTTTATTAAATAATTTCAAAAGAATATATAATGAAGTTTATAAAAGTACAAGTTTGTCTAAAAGAAAGTAAATATTAAGTTACTATATTCATATTAAAAAGCTATAAATTTTGGATTTGTCCAAGACTTGGTATGTTTGATCACTAATATAATAATATCACATTAATAAAATTTAAATTGTTGAAATATAATTTTATAATTTATATAGTATTTTATAAATCTACACATCAAAGAAAACCTACTAAAAATACATTATTGATTCATTTTACTTATTAAGCTGGAAAATAAGACCTAATAATAGTCCATGAGTTTTTCTATAAACAAGGCCTCATATTCTCCTCTTTCACTGCCACTATTGACTCTTTCTAATTAAACCTTTCTCCAAGAAAAAAAAAAAGTAGAATTCAAGAAACAAAGATACACAACCATATGCATGCATCCATGCAAATGCAACGTAGACGAAAAAATTAACATGAACATGCAAGTCACGTACCGTGGAAGATCACAATCATCAGGTTGCCATCTCCATTTCCGAAAACCTTCATCGTTCCGACCGTTTTCTCGGCACCGGAAACCGGGATCAAGAAACGGACATTTTTCATCATACAATTGATGAGAGTTGTACGTTTCGTCCCAAACCCATTGGCCTTTGGAAAAATCACAAGCTTCAATTGGTAGCAATGTCTTAGAATTATTGGGAGCAATATGTGACAAGAAATCAAACCGAAAAAGTGATTGTTGATCAAAGGTAATGAGGTTGGAATAGAATAGAGAAGATAGTAAGAAGAAGAGAAAAGAGAGTGCATATGCTAATTCTCTATTCATTGTTAGTGTTCGTTAAAAGTTATGTGAATGAGAGATACTAATAGGTGTGTTAATATGGTGATGTGGGTTGATGTTTTATAAATTCTAATTGAGTAAAATAAATAAAATCATTAATCTCTCAATATTTTATTTACAAATCTATTATTTCTACTTTATTAAGTAATACATTTTATAGTAATTTGCATTCTCAATATTTTATTTACAACTCTATTATTTCTAGTTTATTAAGTAAAATACATTTTATAGTAATTTGCATTCTCAATATTTTATTTACAACTCTATCATTTCTACTTTATTAAGTAATACATTTTATATAGGATTTTACTGTTACTTTTTTAATTAGGTAATTATTGAATAAAAAAGGGAAAAATAAAATAGCGTGGATATAAAATATAATGTATCAAACTACCAGAAAAATATGATAGTTGGTAACGTCCAACTTATGAAAAAAAAGAAAAGAAAAAACACAAATAGGAAAGAATTTCCATCGAGTGTCATAAATTTTGTTTTTATTGATTAATCTATATGCACTTGCATTTGTCTTTTGAAAATATGAGATATCATAAATTTAAAGGAACGTATAACGCGTAAAATATTTTTATATTTAATTAAATGATACAAATGGATAATATTCATGTTAGAAAATGTACAATGACCAATATTAGATTAGTTTTAAGCTAAAGATTTTTTTGATTTCTCTTAGTATATTCGATAGTAAGCATGTTTTTATGTAATTCAGCTTTAAATGATGTGCAAATTTCAATCTTCATTGAGAAATCTCCTAAGAATATGCGCCGCCCAAAAGCTCAACGAAGTTAAGGGCCAAATTGATGTTAGTCCACTCCACATGATCCAAAGTATAAAAATCATCTCATGTGAAATGCAAGGTACACTTTATGATCTTCATTTTCATTATACTTATCTTGAATCTTGATTTGACTTGGACGTTGGAGTGCTAACCTTGCAGATTCACCCTCGTGCCATTGTATCTGAAATCATCACTGTAACACCCCCTTTCTATAACCCAAAATAAACAATTAAATCATTTAGGCACTTAATAAAAATTCCATCAGAGTATAATTATAACATGGTATAAAAGAGGCGCGTCACATTATCAACGAAACAAAACATAAATAATACCTGTTCATAAAGATATGTAACAAAAGGGGTAAATCTCAACTAAAAACAAAGCATAACGCTTAAAACCCACATATCAACATTTAGAATAAAGCGGAAACATCTAAAAATTGAAATCACTTCATTAACATAAGCATCATATACATCGTTCAGATTAATTCAATTCATCAGTTAAGTTTACAAAACATTCAGCAGCAGATACATACACAAATGTATCACAAAAGAATCAAACAATCCCTAACTACCCAGTGTTACATATAAGAGCCATCTGACCAAAAGAAATGAAGACTCGCTTCACAAAATACCTCCAGCATCCTACTCTGCAATGCCTCATAGAGCATTATAAAACATCAGAAGGGTGAGACACATTATCATAACAAACAATGCATAAAATTTATTATATATATATATATATATATATATATATATATATATATATATATATATATATATATATATATATATATATATATATATATATATATATATATATATATATATATATATATATATATATATATATATATATATATATATATATATATATATATATATATATATATATATATATATATATATATATATATATATATATATATATATATATATGTCATAAAACACAATTATAACATATACGCAATTCACATTTCTCACCACAACTTGTCACAATACATCACAATGTACACGTACATAATCAATCACATTCACCAATTCATGCTTCACAATTCATAGCATTTCACTTAAACATTTACAATTACGTTCAATTCACTCAAACATCATATAAAGATGATAATGCAACTCATAGAGTCCGACTCACGACTCTATGCAGATGCAAATGCGGTACCGACTCGTTCAGCAGGTTCAATTGAAGAACCAAAATGGAACCATCGCTTGTTACCGAAGTAACTCCCTGTCGGGCCTACGATGTTCACCCATCGCTCACACCCCACATGGGCACACGATGTTTCAGGATTGCTCACACCCCACACGGGCACACAATCCGGTTGCTCATACCCCACAAGGGCACACAACTGTTCTGCAGATTCTCCACAGAATCAAAAAT